GTGAAGGGACCCTGCGTGGGTCCGAGGCCTTCCTGCGAGGCAGGGGCCGGCCCGCCCTGCCAAGGAGCCTGTTGTGCGGGAGGTGGGGTCTGCCCGAGGGGGCAGAGTGTGTCTGTCTGCTGAGGGAGGTTCCACCTTCTGCTCTGCTCTGCTGGGACTCCACCTGGAGTACCGTGTCCAGCTCTAGAGCCCCCAACACACGAAGGACATGGACCTGTTGGAGTGAGTCCAGAGGAGGCCGCAGGGATGGTCAGAGAGCTGGAGCAGCTTTCCTGCAAGGACAGAGAATTGGGGTTGTTCAGCCTGGAGAAGAGAAGGCTCCTGGGAGACCTTATAGCACCTGAAGGGAGCCTACAGGAAAGTTGGGGAGGGTCTGTTTATGAGGGTGTGTAGCAGAGGGACAGTGTTTTAAACTAGAGCAGAGTGTGTTTAGATTAGACATTAGGAAGATTTTTTTTCACTTAAGGGTGGTGAGGCACTGGAACAGGTTGTCCAGAGATGTTGTGTAAGCCCCTTCCATGGAATTGTTCAAGGCCAGGTTGGGTGGAGTTTTGAGCAACCTGGTCTAGTGGGAGAGGGGGTTGGCATTAGCTTTAAGGCCCCTTCCAACTTGAACCATTCTGTGATCTGACAGACTCCCACTGAGGGAGCTGGAGGAGAAATTTCAAGCACCCTAAGCGTGCAGTTGACACCCTTTATCCAGACACGGAGATGGTGCTTCCACCACAGTTGTGCACCCATTGCCAGCAGCAAAGAGCTGGCTCTCAGCTCAGTCTCGGGATGTACTTCAGTTTTTTTCAAACAATAAACTTTAAATAATTGCAGTGCTCATGGTTTCTAGCTTTTAAAGAATAAAACCATGTAAAACTCTGGACTTTTTGTCATGGTTGAAGAAGTGGCAGATGCTCCTTTGCTGGCCTGAGAGCGTCCAGCTCCTGGCCCTCTCCTGCCTGTCTCACCTAGAGGAGGCTCTTGTGGCCATCAGCTGTCTGAACCCCTGGTAATACGATAAGTACAGGTGGGGGGGATCTGAATATGCCAGGTTGCCTTTGGCCTTCAGAACGTGCCATGGTGAAGGCCAGACAACTGTGGGCAATCTGTTGCGTCCCCCGTTGCCATTCAGTCCTCTTTCCACGCAGGTGTGTTTCCGGAGTGCAGATGGTGCTGTGTAAAGGAGCTGCTTAACCTCCCACGATGCCCTTTTCTGACTTTGTCGTAGCGCTGAAGGACAACCCGTACTTCGGGGCTGGTTTTGGCCTCGTCGGGGTGGGCACAGTCCTGGCATTAGCCCGGAAAGGGGCCCAGTTTGGGCTAGTGGCTTTCAGGCGCCATTATATGATCACCTTGGAGGTGCCCTGCAAGGATAAAAGCTACCAGTGGCTGCTGAACTGGATCTCCCACCACGCCAAGCACACACAGCACCTCAGCGTCGAGACGTCGTACCTGCAGCACGAAAGCGGGCGCGTCAGCACCAAGTTCGACTTTGTCCCCAGCCCTGGGAACCATTTTATCTGGTAAGGGAGGGCAGGGAGAAAGCAGCCTGGGGATTGACCTTCATTTTGGCAAGGAAACTCCAACCTGCAGACCCATGGAGGCAGCAGAGAGGATCCTGCCTCCCCCGTGAGTGTGAGTTGGGGCAAGAGATTGAGAATAGTGAGAGTCTATATTCACCAGAGTGTCGGTGATTTCTTTACCAACGCTGAGTGTTCCCCATGATGCATGAACCGGGCTGGGAGCAGCTGAGGGATGTTGGACCGCTGTCCTCCAACCCCGCCTTCCCATCCCAGGTATCGCAGGAAGTGGATTCGCATCCAGCGCAACCGGGAGATGCAGACGATCGACCTGCACTCGGGGACCCCCTGGGAGTCTGTCACCTTCACTGCGCTGGGCACCGACCGAGAGATCTTCTTTGATATCCTCCGGGAAGGTCTGCAGAGGAGCCGGATGGGGTCCTGCTGGGAACAGCAGGTGCCCAGGGCTTCACAGGAGATCCTGTTCCCTGCCAGCTCTCCCCTCTGCCTTTTTTCACAGCCCGGGAGCTGGCGCTGCAGGAGCAGGAGGGGAAGACGATCATGTACACGGCCATGGGAACAGAGTGGCGGGGGGGAGGCGCCGGCCGCTCAGCTCTGTGGTGCTGGAGGAAGGTGTGTCCGAGAGGCTGGTCCAGGACGTGAAGGAGTTCATCGGCAACCCCAAGTGGTATCTTGAGAGAGGCAAGGCTCCGGTGTGGCACCCTCTGTACTATGCCCAGCGCGGCTCCTTACCCCAGCCCTGCGGCCATGGCTGTGAGGCACCACCCTGGGCACATTCCACGAACCGATGAGCCCAGGTGCTGAGGTCAGGCCTGGATCTGCAAAGGGACAAGCTCCCCTTGGTTCAATCCAATCCCGGAAACCACGATAAAGCCACGGAGCTCATTGCTCCTGCAGTGCTGCCGTGGGGTGGGGCAGGATGCCCAGAATCCTTTCTGAAAATGGCTGCAGAGAGATTTTTCCCCACTGCCTGCTTTCCCCTGGCTTATCCTCTGCATGCCCAGCACAGCCTGACAGCTCTGGGGCAGAGAGCTCAGAGCAACCGTGCTGGTTCCTAAAAGGACACTGTCTTCCTAGGGATCCCGTACCGAAGAGGCTACCTGCTGTATGGGCCTCCTGGCTGTGGGAAAAGCAGTTTCATGTGAGTATGGCTGGCTGGGGACAGCGATTTTCCTGCCGGCTGCCTGCCTGGGGCACAGTGGTGTCTGGTGGGAGGGTGCAGCTGAGTTTGGGTTTGAAATGCGGGAGCAGGCTGCGTCTCCTGTAGAGTGCCTGGTGTGAGCGTTTGCATTGCTGGCACTGGGATAGGTGAGGGCAATGAGCCCTTCGTGCCTTTGCTTTGTCTGATTCCTGTCAGGGGAAGTGTATCTTTTCCCTCTTCCGTTGCTGGGTGGGGAGATCTGGTTCCTCCTCTGCTCTGGGCTTTCTCACTGTGATTCCCCCGGTGGTTTGTGTCCTTCCCAGCACAGCCCTGGCCGGGGAGCTGCAGTACGGCATCTGCCTGCTGACACAGCCTCTCCGACGACCGGCTCAATCACCTCCTGAGCGTGGCACCGCAGCAGAGCATCATCCTGCTGGAGGACGTGGATGCTGCCTTTGTCAGCCGGGACCTCGCTGCTGAAAGTGAGAGATGCGCCTCTTACTGGGCTGGCAGCGGGAGGGAGGCTTCCCTGGGTGCTGGGGAAGGGTTTGGACTCTGGTGTGGCAGCAGAGAATAGGTGTGGTCAGATTCCTGGGGCCTTGAGGCTCAAACTGGACTTCACCCAGTTTTGGCTTAGCTATACGGAGGGAAATTTGGGTCCTTAATCCTCAGGCAAAGATATTTCTCCTGCCCAGCTATTTTCAGCGTGAGGGAGGAGGTGGCTTTCCGCTTTGTCCTCTTTTTGGGTTCCCAGGGGTGCAGGTGGGCAGGAGAGGTGAATGTGCTGCCAGCCAGGGAGAGGCAGAGGGTCAGTCTGGGGGCAAGGAGAGAGCGGGAAGCTTGGAAGGGAGGTGGCCGACGAGACTGCGTGGGGTTCGTGGCTGACGGCTGTCGTCTCAGACACCTCTGTCCCCAGACCCGGCTGTGTACCAAGGCATGGGGCGCCTGACCTTCAGCGGCCTCCTCAACGCGCTGGATGGCGTGGCCTCCACAGAGGCCAGGATTGTCTTCATGACCACCAACTACGTAGACAGGTCAGAGGCAACAGGGAGGGTGGCACCGGAAAACCTTGCTCTCCCTTTGGATGACCTCTGTTGAGGGCTGTTTGCATCCTCCAGCATGAAGACGGGGGCTTCAGGTTTCTCAAATTCTCCCTTGGAATGCAAATTGGGATCACTCTGGCTGGAGCCTCAGATGCTTCCTTGCTGTTCAGACTGTGGTTGTGCCCTTCAGGAGTGGGTACCAGCTTCCTGCCCATGGGGATCTGCAGCTTTTGGGGTTGTGGCCATGCGGCAGGTGAAACGCTGGCCACAGGCACAGCCCATCGGGTTGGCAGGATGCAGCCTGTGCTGATGGCTCCTGGACAGATTCTGCCCAGTGGCACCTGAGCTGGTCTAGGGGGTTGTTCAGAGGTTGCTCATGGGATAGAGAAGGGCAGACCTGTTTCCCAGGACATGCTCCTTCTCCTCCAGAGCCAGCTCTTCCTCAGGTTTCTTGCTTCTTTTGGGTTGATTTCCTCCCTCAACCCCCGTGGGCAACTTTGCGATCTCACAGCGCAGAGCACCTTGCAGATTGGACGGTGGCTGTGCTAGCATGGAGGGGTGCTTCTTGCAGCCCCCACCCTGCAGAGACGATTTGATCAGCTTTTGAAGGCCACCCCC